GTGTCCAACATTTTGTGACCCCATTTGGGGTTTTCTTGGCCAAAAATACTGGAGTGGTTTGCCATTTCCTTCTCCAGCTCATTTCGTAGATGAGGAAACTGAAGTAAGTAGGGTTAAGTGACTTATGGTTAAATGAACCCAGGTTCATACAGGTATTAAGTGTCTGAGGCCAGATTTGAACTCGGGTCTTCTTGACTCTAGGCCAAGCACTCTATCCATTGCACCACTTAGCTGCCAAATCAAATCACAGCTCTGGTTAAAAAAAGTGTTAGCTCATACTGAATCTACAGTGAAGCTTGCAGACAGCTGTGTGACTTTGGGCTAATGTCTCCCTCTGGTCCTTAACTTCTTTGTCTATAAAAATCGAGCATTTTGGACTCCCTGATTTCCAAGGTGTCTTTCCAGTTTTGAATCTATGGGGAAAACCACATCACCACAATCATCACTAATAACCAAATAAAGAATACATTTTTTTTCCTTTTCACATAAACTGCTATTAAATCTGGTCTTTCCCATTCTGAATTTCTATTTTTGATTTTTTTAATTTAATTTATCTTTTTAAAAACTGTCATCTTATAGGTATATATGTAAAGAGATTACATGGAAAAAAGTATAAGGTTTTAGGAAAGGCTTCCTATGGAAGATGGGATTTTAATTAAGACTTGGAGGAAGCCAGAGAAGCCGGTAGGCAGAGACGAGGAGGGAGAGCCTTCCAGACATGGGTGATAGCCAGAGGAAATGCCCAGAGCTGAGAGGCCAATGTCACTGGATCAAAGAGTATGTGGTAGGCAGTTAAGTTGTAGAAAGACTGCAAATATGGGAGAGGGCTAGTTTATGAAGGACTTTGGACTAAATACAGGATTTTGTGCTTGATCCTGGAGGTGATAGGGAATCACCTGAGTTTATTGAATATGTGTGTGTGTGTGTGTGTGTGTGTGTGTGTGTGTGTGTGTGTGTGTGTGTGTGTGACATACTCAGATGTGCTTTGGGAAAATAACTGCGGTGGATAAATGGAGAATAGATTGGAGTGGTGAGAGACTTGATGTAGGCAGACCCACCAGTAGGCTATTGCAATTGTCTGATTGTGAAGTGATGAGGACCTTCACCAGGTTGGTGGCAGTGTCAGAGGAGAGAAGGAGATTTTCAAGAGATTATGCTAAGGTAAAGTTGACAGGCCTTGGCAATAGATTGGATAGAGGGATGACAGATAGTGAAGAGTTGAGGATAACAGCTAAATGGCAAGCCTCAGGAATTGGAAGGATGGTGTCACAATCTGTAGTAATAGGGAAGGTAAGCATCGGGCTTTATAGGGAAAGAATAAGTTCTGTTTTGGACATGTTGAATTAAAGGTGTCTACTGGACATCTAGTTTGGGAGATGCTAGACCAGAGGTCTAGCAGAAAGGCTGGGGCAGGTAGATTTGAGAATCATCAGCATGGTGATGGTAATTAAATGCATGGGAGCTGATGAAATTACTAAATGAAGGAGTTCAGAGGGAAAAGAGAGGTGAGACTAGGACAGAACACTGAAGCACACCTATGATTGAGGTATGCGATCTGGATGAGGATCCAGCAAAGAAGAATGAAAAGAGGTTACATCATCATCATCATCATCAATACCATCATCATCCATTTTTATCTTCTATAAATTTGTGATGTAATAAAATATCAGGCAGGGTGGTGGAGTGGTTAGAGAACTGGCTTTAAGATCAAGAAATCTGAATCTAGATCGTGCCTCTGACTTGGGGTGTGACCCTGGACAAGTCACTTGACATATCAATGTATCAGGAAACTCTTTAAGGCTCTAAGTCAAAGAAAAGATGCTGAGCTTTATTGATAGAGCAAGTTCCTTCACAGGAGCTCTCTATACTGGGTTAAAAAAATGGTGAATGTGCTTGGAAGTTTTAGAAAGAAAAACACTCCCCAAGTTGAATATGCTGACATTATTATTATTACATTACTGTTTCAACAAACAAGACTTATCTAATTGGTAGAGGATATGCCATATGATTAAAGTTTTCATGGTATTAACAATTGTTCAAAAGGTCAGTGGTTTATAAAACTGGACAGGGATTATATCATAAAAACCATTTCATTCAATGTATATGAGAAGTTTTCATGTTGAATTTTCAGCTAATATTGAGCACTTGACATTAAATCAAGACTTTTGGTAATACTGGAGCAGAAGCTCACATAATCATTTATTTTATCAGGAAACAGGAAACCCTCCCATCCCATTCCTTTTGCATCTTCTTTCCCACTTGCCAAATATATCTAGGAATTTTCCCCTTCTTTCTCCCTAGCTGGTGTCTCTGGGCGTGACTCTCACTGTTTTGCTCTGAAGAGATTTCTAATCAAGTTGTGTGGTCCAAGCTGGCTCTTATTACAGAGAAAGTCTGGGCTCTGTTTACAAGTGTTTCTGTGAAAATGGCAAATTGGAATCTAGTTCCTTTAACTGGTTCCCAATTACAGCTCATAAGAAAGAGGACAAGCAAATTAAAATAGTTTATATTTTACAAGTGCCCAAGCCACAGTTATTGTTAGCATTTAGGTGCCCTTGTGCAATCTGGCACTCTGAAGGGAGAAAGCAGAGAACTTCCCTTCACTGTAGTGTTCTGATTCTTCTCTCCTGATGGAGCTGTCCTAACTGAAGGCAGAGCATGAGGAAATGGGATTAGGGCTCAGCACAAGGGATTGAGGCTAAGTATAAGGAAACATTTCCTGACTAAAGAATATTTACCATTCAATGTGTTTTTGAGAGAGTGAGGTTGTGGATTTGCTTTCCCAAGAGATCTTTAAAAATAGGACAGACTTTTTCGAAATAGGATAAGCCTCTCTTCTGTCTGGCACGACTTAACCTTCGTGTGTGTGTGTGTGTGTGTGTATGTGTGTGAGTAGTAGTAGTAATAGTAGTAGGAGTAGTAGTAGTAGGAGGAGGAGGAGGAGGAGTAGTAGTAGATGACTCTTGAAGCCCTCTTTCCTTTCTGGAATTCTGCATACCAATGGCAAATTGAACAATTCTGAGAGCATGTTGGGCCTTCACCATTTTTGCTCAGCTTCTCAATGGGCTGAATTTTTCCATCTATAACTCAGAAGAATTAACTTCTTTTTTTTTTTTGCATACAGTAGTTGTTTAAGAATTAACTTCTGAGACTGGAAGGCTATTAATAGGGACATCAAGGCAATCTACCCTAGCTTTACTGAACTCTTAGAAAGAATAAATGGAGACAGAAGAAGAATTGGGTGTGTTGAAGGGTTAGCCCCTTATATAGAGAGAATGTGTATTTGTAGGTGTTGAGGGACAGGGGAGGGGATAAGAGAAGGGTGAAGAAAGAGCCACTTTTCACTGGGTTATTTATTTCCCTTTCTGATTTCACAGAAGTGAACCTCCAAATAGCACATCAGTGACAGGGACTGAACCTATGATTTTATTTGTTATAGGGAATAAAAATACCCAGAAATTTACCTTGAATTATTGTACATATTTATTTTAATTTTGTGCCGATACTTTATACATGTATACTAGAAATGAACGTAAATAAGCTCATTTGGGGAAGGACCACATTTTGGCCTTTTTTTTTTATCAACAATGCCTATCAGTGCATATAGTAAGGGCTTAATAGTTGCTTGCTGGTTGATTGATAGACACTAAGAATCAATTCACAAGCATTTATTAAACCCCTTTTTTATTCTAGGTACAGGGATAGGTGCTGAGAAAACACATGCAATGAATAAAAAATTCTCACTTACAAAAGGGTTTACATTATGATGGAGAAAGTAAGTACATTTATACATACTATATATATATATATATATATATATATATATATATATATATATATTACACATATATATGTATCAATAGAGAGAGAAAGGAATGGTGGCTTGCCCTCCCAAAAAAAAATATGTAGTGAGGTTCCATGTGTGGTGGGGATTCTGTCATTGTGTGTGGTTTAAAGGGAGGCAGAATAGACATCTCCAGCCTCTTCTCTCTCCTTTGTTCAAGGGAGACTTTCATTCCTGCCAGGAGTGGAAACAAGAGATTTGGGGCCAGAGGCTACCCCTCTGCTTTCCTTAGAGAGAGGCAGGTACCAAGCTAGAAGTGTATTTATCTGTTCCCTTAAATAGCATTCATCTAGGGGCTATGATTAGGTTCCATCAAACTTTAGATTGCTTTATCATGTCTGGGGGGGAAGGAAGTCACCAAGCTCTACATCCAAGGCTTGACCTCTTTCCCGCTGAAGACCAGTCCCGCAATGAACACACATACAGTATAGCAAAGAAACTCATTTACCCAAATTGCAGCAAAGCAAAAATCAAAGAATATATACAAAGGAGAATATATACCAGAGAACATAGCATGAAGGGGCTCTCCCATGGGAAGCAAGATATCTCAGCTCCACCAAGACAGAGTGTCCTGGATCTCACACCAAGGGAAAACTCTCCAAAGTCTCTACAGTAGCAAGTCTCTAGGGGAACATGATGAAGACTACCTGTTCCTCTCATGTCTTCCCAGAGTCTTTTCTTTCAGCAAGCTGAAGTAGGGTTGGTTTCTCCTCTCTTCTCTTTTGAAGCTGGAAGCCAAGTCAGTGCTATGCTTGAAGAAGACTGACTTGGGGAGTCTCAAAGGTGGACTGGCTGAGAACTGAAGCTCTTGCCTCTTGCCAGCTGCACCTCATCCTTCATGTAGGGTGGGGCTTCCATCTCCACCAATAAGGAGAGAATCCCATATAAATGGACTTTGGGATAGGGGTTACATATATGTTAAAAATAAATACACACTATTTTGATGCTAAGCATGATCTGAGAATGTCAAATTAAAGGATCTTAGTAGAGCCCTGTGCCTTGAAACCTGTAGAATATGGCTTTTTTTTTTTTTTGTCTGTAGGACATATCACTGCCCTGGGAGAAAGTAGCCTCTCTTCTGAATGCCTATGTGTTAGTTAGCAGCTCTGGTGCAGAGGAGCGTATAACTGATAGAGCCCTCTCTTGTTGATTTCAGAGTCGAACAGCAGAAGGGCTGTGAATAGAGGTTATCTCAATGGATTACTCAGATTACACCAGGACTGGCAAAGCCATGATACCTCCAATGACTTCATCCAGATCCGAAGGTCTCTCCTGCTCTGCCTCAAACACATCACCAACATCCAGTCTGGCAGAGAAGTCTTCCTTGGGGCCCAGGGAATGGAGATCCTCTTTACTACCACTCAGGTAAATAAGGCAAAATGAGCTGTTTACATAATGACTTATGGTTCCAGAGTGGTTTACATATATCAGCTCATGTAAATCTTACAACAGTTATGTGAAGTGTATAATACAGAGATTATTATCTTCATTTTGCAAGTGAGAAAACTGATCAGTTCTTTGGTATTAAGGGATGAGCACTGCAGTCAGTGTCAGAGGACCTGAGTTCAAGTCCTGAATTTGTAATCCATTATCTGCGTGACTTCAGGCACGTCGTTCAACCCCCTAGGGGCCTCATATTCCTCATCTGAAAAAGGAAGGAGTTAGACTGGATGCTTTTTCAGGTTCCTTCCACCTCTATGATGTTTGTGGAAGTTAAATGTCCTGCCCAACAATCACATAGCTAAGTTTTAAACCTTGATCGGTGGTTTTTGGACCTCTTAAATATTTTCAGCCTGTTGTTCATATCTTCTCTGGACATAACATGTAGCAAAAAAAAAAGCTTGTTTTGCTTCACTTATGTTTCCTAATTAGTCAGTCTTTCCACATCCCTTATCAATTTGTTTGCTCTTCTCTAGGGGCCCTTCACTCCCTTCACTTTATTTTTGCGTGTATACACCCACGATTATGAAGTAGCTAAAGAGAGTACTATCTTCCAAACATAGACTCTTCTGGGAATTCTCCCTTCAAAAATCCACCTTTACAGTAATATAATACTAAAACCATAAATAATTCTCTGCCTGCTATTGCTTCTTTGTTTTATCAATCACTACTGCTACCATAATTTCCCTCTGTCGCATGATTGCTGTATTTTACATTATGTTTCACTTGATGAAGTAGTCCTTTGGTTTTTTGCAGGCCTCCTTGCATTTTGTTAGTGTGTGGCGTCCCAAGGTTCTAACTACTCCAGTCCCCCATGGAATATTTTCATCGTTGTTGATGACTAACAGCTTGTGGGTTTCTTTGGTCTGCCTACTTCAGCTGCATGCTGTTTATTCTGTTGGATCATCTATGTTCACTGTCAGAAAACAATCAAAGGTGAAAGAAAGGAAATAGATACAGAATCTAAAATTGTGCACATGTGATTCTGAGAAAATTGGGGGCAGATAAAGATGGAATCAAGATGAGGACAAAGGATGGAGAGAAGGTCAGTAGAAGATGGAAAAAGATTCATCCTTTAGGACAGTCCCTTAGGAACATGATCTCTGGCCATTCAATTAAGCTAATTTACTCAGAAATCCCTCCCTGCCTTTTTGGTTATGATATGGAACAGAGGCAGAGTTTGAACAAGGGCTGCGTTACATTAGCACTCTCTAGTAGCAAGAACCTGGTTTTGACAAGTTTCCCCAGTCCTGTGTCATAGCCATGGTTGATATGGCTTCGAACTCAAGCCTAGTGGGTACCTCCCACAAAGTGCAAATGTTGGGGTCACCTCTGGTGAAAAAAAAACAGGATATGGTACACTATACAACTTCTATCTAGAACCACATGTGAGAAGTGAAAACACTAATCTCTTCAAAGCTGAGACAGAATAAAAATGATATCTTTATTTATTGGTGAAATAAAAATGACAGCTTTAAAGGGGTGTGTGTGTGTGTGTGTGTGTGTGTGTGTGTGTGTGTGTGTTGAATAATATACCACAGGAGAACTATCAAAAGGGACACTGTGAAGGTTGATAGGTCTGACATCTGACATCCTCTCACTCCTTGACAATGACACTTTTCTATTTAAAGAGATGCTTCTCCTGGATAGAAATTAAACTTTCTCTACTCCAGTGTTAGAGATATAGCAAGCACTGAAGGGCCCCATGCTACTGTGGCCTGACAATTATATAACAAAAGGTTATGGATATGCTCACATACATGATGCTATTCTACCAGACTGGTCAGGACATAGTCCAGAGAGAGTGATGACACCATCTGGTTAATTGAATTGTATTTATATGAAGACTGTTGGCATTGTTGAGGGTATAATAACTATAGGCCTTAGTGTGACTGAAAAATTCAAAGGGTCACTTATGTATATATGAAGTCTCTCACCTCTGGTTTCCAAGCTGTGACTATTACTATCAAAGTCCATCACTTTGGATGACCTTGCTTCATTATTTCTAGGTGGTACATTCTCACTTGGATAAAATAGGCCAGTGGTGTCAAATTCAATAGAAACTAGGGCCACTAAATCATATGTAAAGATCCCTAAAGGCCATATATTGACTTAGAAAACCACTTATTAACATTTTCTGTGTTCAATTATATTTTTAATTATTTTGTAAAATATCTCCCAGTTACATTTTCATCTGCTTTGGGCCATTTGGGAGTGTTGCTGCAGGCTGCATGTTTGGCACCATGGAAATAGACTGTAGTATAAAGAAAAATACCAAATGTATTTTTGCAGCCTAGGATTTCAGTTAGACTTTTGGAGTTCATGGGCATGAAAAGAAGATGGAGAAAGGTTTGATTTATAAAATTGCTTTGTGATAAATTATATTAGGGCATCTAGAAGAAAAGCAGGAGGGAAACGCTACTAGGATGTGGTTGAGTCACTGTTCTGGGGAAAGGGGTTGAAGTTAAAATTAGAAAGTAGTTTAAATAGTCAGAAAGAAGATTCCTCATTCTGAACAAATATCTCTAACAAGACCCAAAGAAAAAGCTATAAATTGTAGTAAATTCTTATAAATCACTGCTATTGTTGTTTCTCTAGAGGACATAATGGAGAGGATGTAGCCTATTCATTATTTCATTGAGCAACATGTATACAGAGCAGTAATCTTTTAAATAAGATCAAGTTCTAGTGTGAGGATTATATATCTGCTACAGCCATGGTGATGGCCAGTAACTAGATGGCATAGTCCCACTTAGCCTGTTTCCTCACCCATACCATGAGGAAGTTGGACTACATGACCTCTAAGGCTGCTTTCAAATCTAAAATTAAGATCATATAATCCAACTATGATAGATGATCTCTAAGGTAGGTCTGAAATCCTCTAATTATGAAATAGTTGCTTTCCTATTTCCTAAACAGGTATGTCCTAAGTACCTGTGGAGTATTTAGAATATTTGATTAGCAATTGGCACAACCCCTTTAATAATTTATGTAAACATAAGCAGTCCTTTCTTGGCTTCAGTACAAAGGTGTTAAAAGTAAATATAATTACCAGCAAAACTTGATCTAATTACCTACTTCTTTCCTCCTCTTCTGTGTACCAGTTACTACCTTACACTTTCCTGGCAGTAAGGTTCTAAGTAATTTCTACCCTCATTGTCAATGAATTCATTCAATGAATACTTATTGAGTGTCTACTAATATGCAAGTCACTAGGCTAGGCTGTGGGGAGGGAAAGCTAAAAAAATCAGTAAAACATGGTCCATACCCTCAAGCAGACTACAATTTAGGAAGAACAAAACAAAATAAAACAAATGACCACAAACCAGTTCAAGTATATAGGTGTTAAAAGTAAAGCATGTCCTTAATAAAATTTTGTTGAATCGAAAGAAAACATTCATATCAGAGGAAATATAACCACTATCCTCATTATTAAAGAGTTTTGTAAAAATAGCTGTATATATATATATATATATAAATATACATATATATATACATATATATGTGTGTATATATATACATATATACATATATGTGTGTGCATATATATATACATATATATACATATATATGTGTGTATATATATATATATACATATATATATATATATATATATATATATATATATATATACAAACACACACACACACACACACACATACATATATGCTCTGTTTATTGTACAAAGGTTTTGCCATACTTCCTTTCCATACTCTGTGCTTGAATTGGATAGGCCCTCAGCAGTCCTTGGATTGATTGAAAAACTTCATTACAGGTGGCAGCTAGGTGGTGCAGTGGATAGAGCTCCAGTCTTGGAGTCAGGAAGACCTGAGTTCAAATCTGGCCTCAGAGACTTGACACTAGCTGTATGACCCTAGGCAAAAAAAAAAAAAAAGAAAGAAAGAAAAACTTCATTATGCTTTGTTGATGTTGTTCAAGTAGTTCCTTTGCAGTTTATTATATAATTTAAGAAGTCTCTCATAAATGTCCCTTGAAATGTACCTTGAAGCTTTCATGAGGACTCCTGTTATAGAATCTTATAGCATCAGCCTAGTGGGTTTCTGGGAGTTGCTAGAGAATCCAAACTCACTGAATCTCGAGAACACTTTTCTTAGAGGGGTGAATTCTGAGTCAGACCAGGTCCCAAGATCCTGAAAGCATTTTACAGTATGCTTTTTATTAAACAACTGAAGATATTTGACCCATCTTGGAGATGCAAACAACAGTGTACTGTTCATCCCACCCATTTACCACTGAGAGAGCTTCCTGCTATTTGCCCCAAGGCTGTTGAAATAGGACATCTGGTTTATTCCATTTTGTTTCACTAATATTCTTCATTGGAATAAAATGTTATGGTTTTGTAAGTGGTTGGACTCTTCCCTCCCCTTCTAACCACTCAGCCCTCAACTCCTTTCATATTTCAGAATCTTTTGGGCAGCAGAGGTAGTATCTAGAATTCAATCCACTTTCTTCTGTGTGCTGATTAGTTTTTGTGGAGATGTAGTACAGTTATATTATGTGACAGCACTATACATAGATTTTCAGATGTCATTTCAGGAATTATGGAGAAGACATCACCCTGCTTTGATCCTTTTGGCAGCAGACTAGGTATGAACTAATTCAACCAATGTTTACTGAGTACCTATTATGTGTAAGGCACTATTCTTGGCACGTCAGTGATGCTATGAAGTTGATAAGTTGAATAAATCATAGTCCCCACCTTCAAGGAGTTAACAGTTTGAAAGAGGAAATAAGAAAGATATATAAATAACTATAAAATAAGAAAAAAAATACCACAAGAGAGGTATAAACAAAAGCTACAAGTGTTCAGAAAATTGAGACATCAGGATCAGGGAAGACTTCATAGAAGAGGTGACATATAAGCATGACCTTGAATGATGATAGGATTTTGATAGAAGTGGAAAGGAGACATTTAGAATAGAAGAAATAGTGTGAGCAAAGGTGTGGAAGCAGGAAATCTCACGTTTTATATGGAGAGTAATGAGTGTAATGGAGTTGTGTTACTTGACTGCAGCACAGATGTGTATTTGTAGAGAAATACTTTTCCTTTGTTCAATCTTCCAAACAAATTTTCTTTGCCCTGCAAAAAGATTCATTAGAATCAACATATTAGGCTTTGAAAAAAAGTATTTTATTTATTTTGGGTTTTTTTTTTTGCTTTTGCTTGTTTTTAACTTCCTAATTTACCTTTTATCTTTATATGCCATTTTCTTGTTCTTCTTTGATCAAGTGTCAGGTGAAAAAAACAGTAATAATTTTACCAAATCATCTACTTATTCCCAAAGGGGACAGGGCTGTCATCCCCCACTCTCTGGATGACCAAAATCTTACTAGAACAAATTTTTATTAATAATACAGAAAAAAACAAAAAGAATAGAGATGCAGCTATACAACAGTTTATTTTCCATATTTATATTGTGTTTCAAATGTGCAAGACTTTCAGCAGAGTGCTTTCATAATCATTGGAACCCTACTGACAGGGAGCTCTCTAATCAATATGACATTGCTTTTATCTAGAAATACCTGGGTAATCAAAGCATGGATGCCATCATCTCAATAGTAATTCAGATCCTGAGGAAATGCTACCCCAAATGCTCATTGCCCTTGGCTACAGCGAGTAGCTACTATTCCTTTTCTGTTCCTGGGAACATGAGCTCTGGACCACCATGTACTATAAACAAAGGTAAGTTAAATGGACAATGATGATCTTCAAATTTTCCTGTGTGTTAATATCTTTCTCCTATAAAAGTACAAATGCTCTCTGGTCCAGGGAGATAGAGCTGAAGGCTGGAACATGTAACTCTTCATTGGTCAAGATAATTTGGTCCATAGGCAAAGTAAAGACAGTTCTGGGACTATTAATTTGAAAAAGCATTTTTAATGGATATGTCATCTCATTTTTGTGGGCCCTTTTCCTTTTGCTCACTGGTGCAGACCAAAAATCATCTGAAACTCTTCTACATTTTGGGTTAAAATTCAAAGCTCTTTTGAGTTTTCTTTATTAGTTACTATTTTTCTGCTTACTTAGAAAGGTCATAAAAATCTCAGGTATACCCAAGAATATGGATTTGTACACAGCCATTTGAGCTGGTTTAAAATCTCTTCTGACTTCTCTGATAGAATACCTTACAATGCTGTTTTGTAGTGACATTAAATCACCCAAAAGGTTAACTTGAAGTCGACTTTCTAGGTGAGTATGATTTGTCTTCCGAGAGATTAGTCTTTTTACCATATATGATTCCATTAGACAATTTCTAACTTAATTGTTAGAAAATTCCAGTGACTCTTTTCCCTATTCCAACTTTCATGGAACTCCTTTATCTTAGATTATTTTAGACACAGTTTACCTGTATCCTGTCTGCTGACTTACTCATTCTTTTCATCTGTAAAATGAGGAAGCTGGACTAAGTGACTTTTAAGAGACTTTCCTGCTTTAACATTTCATAGTTTGGTTTCCCAAGTACTTCTAAGATTTTGAGAATATTCCATAGTTTTGCTCTCTAGTATCGAGAGTTGGAGGGGACCTTAAAGGTCATCTAGTCCAACTCTCTCATTTTATAGATTAGGAAAATGGGGTCCAGGATGGCTAATAATTTACCCAAGGTCATGCAGGTGATAAAAGGCACAGCCAGGGATTAAACTTGGTCATGTGATTCAAATGGAACAATCATACATTGCAAAGGGACATGACTGTTAGTGTACAGAGGCCTTGATGTGAGAGTGCCAAAAAGAATACTGGGAAAGGGCTAGCCCTGCCTCATACCTTCTTCCCAGACAATGACATGGAGATTTTCTCTTTTCTTCTCTTGGATTTGTACTTTGTTGAATAGCTGGTTAAAGGCCCTGTTTTCAGGTTGCTGAATGCACCTACTTGTGCATAAACAAATAAGGGTCAGTGCAGTTGCTGGGACATAAATGGGTGACTGCAGACTTATAGAAAGATTGCTTAATTATGTGAGGAAAGAATGCTAACTGACATTCTATGAAAGTCAAAATCCAGAGGGAGATGAAAAATCATTTACCCATTTTACTTCTTCCCTCTGCAGATGATTTTGAAGAGGATGGTGAGGAAGAGGAGGATGAAGACTCAGATTCTGAAGAAACAAAGGAAGAAGTAAGTATACTGATCTCTGGTTTGAACAATTATCTTTTTGTTTCTTGCATGTCTTTGCAAGAAAAATCGGATTTCTGCTTATCCAAGTCACCGGCTGTATCACAGACGGTAGCTTAGTGCTATTGGCTAAACCTAAGCATCATTGGTATTTTTCAAATACCTTGAAATGCCTGGTGAAATGTCACAATGGAAAAACAAAAGCCATCCAACATGATGGTACCAATGTTTTATCAGACTAAAGAACAAGGGCTTGAGTCTCCAGTATGTCCTTTAGTATGGCATAGTTTTTAAACTAATTTTGCTAACATTTAGTTTTGCACTAACATTTAACGCATTGCATGTTAAATGAATATATGCAACATAAGCAAAGAAGACAGAGGTGAAATCAACTTGGCCCTCAGTGTTACTCTTTTCTGACAGTGTGTCCATTGTTCTTAAATACGCCATTCTGCTTTATCATCTACCCTCTATTATCCCACAGTGGACTACCTGTAGATTTGGCAACTTGGAAGGTACAAGGTACAATTGTTTTTCATTTTTCAACTCAGGGAATGGACTCAGGCAAATTCCCTACATTTAATCTGCCTTAATAGTATCACCTACAAAATGAAGAAATGAAGCAAGTACTGCCTCTTGAAATTCTTCAGGAGGAAAACCTGATGAAATCCTTGCAAGGAACTTTTCCATAAGTTCTGTATAAATGTATCATAACCATCACTCTCCTGACTAACACTTGTGGCAGACGTCTAGATGAATGCCTCTGTGCAATGACACTAGGTTTAAACTGCTATTGACACCCCTCTATTCTCAGGGTTTTGTTGATAAATAGAATCATTTCTGAAGTCATCAGGAGCAAATTGGTTCTTTACTGCGGTTTGGCGGTGCATGCCAATGGAGTATGTGCTGAATTATTTGAATAACACTGGGCTGCAGCAGCCATTCATCAATGCCACTCCCTGCCTTGCCTTCTGCTTGCTCTTTGGGAAGTGAATGCTTGACACTGGGTGTCATTCCCCTCTTGTATCTGATGTGGAGGGACAAGTAGTGCATCAATGCATGACTACGTTCTGCATAGTGGATGTTTCAGATGGTATCCTGAGTTCCTGCTTTGCAGATAACTGCAGGGGAAACAAACAAACAAAAAAATAAACAAAAACCAGCTGGGAAATAAGCACAAGACAAATTGGTGCAGGGACTACAAGCTATTCATCAACATGTGCCAAGCAAAATAGCAGATGAGATTTCTATGCATGAGCATGACCACCAGAGAAATGAGAGTTTTTGTAGTTGTTTGCCTCTGTGTCATAACCCCCTACGAAACTGTAAACTTCACAAGGCCAGAAACTGTATCTTATCTTTAACTTTGTTTCTCCCTTAAGTGACTTGCACAGTTCTCTGCATACAGAATAGATGTTTAATTTGCTTGATGAATGAATGAAAGAATGCCAGAAATCAGAGCTAAATTTATTCTGGGGTGGGGTATATCCAGATAAGGCAGTGGGCCAGAAGACTAGAGATTTTTCTCAGTGGAACCAAGCTTCACGTCCTTGGAGGTGACTGTGGGAAGTATGGACTGCACAACAAGGAGCCAAGAAAACTTTAATTCTGATTACAGCAATAAACCTGGCTCTTCATGTGGCCGCTCTGTGTCTTGGCTTCATCATATCTTGGAAAGCTGTGATAATCATTTTGATCTGCTTTCCTTGGGAAGGATAAATAGCCTATATCTGTGTAGTGCTTTGAAAATGGAAAGTCAAGTAGTGCACTCAGAAAGTACACATGGTCTAGGAATGTGATTGAGTACCTTATGGTGTGTGCAGGATGGCTACAGTACCATGTTGGGAGCCAAGGTCTTAAGGAGACAGAAATACAGACAGAAATTGTATTTGTTTCTCTCCTATCTGCCCTCTCTGAACGTGTGCATGTGACAGCAGGTGCTGTTTAGTATCAAGATTAGTCATAATGCCAACACATTGGTAGCTGAGGTAGGCATGGTCTGAGACAATTATTTATTGCTAATCCTCATTTTACAAATTGTTTTAAATTATTTATTTTAGGAAAAAAGTAGTGATCTGTTTTTTCATTTCGTGTAAAATTGGCTCTCGTGGATTTATTTGGAAATTCAGGTCCAATCCTAAACTTCCTTTCCTAAAAAAATATTACAAGCTGCTTTCACCTTCAATTTTAAACTCTTTGTCCCTCCACAAGGTATTTCCTAAAGTTGAAACTTTCTTTTTATTGACTAAACCATCTGAGATAATATGTAGAAAATGCTTTGCAAACTATAAAACACTATAGAAAGTAATTTTTTTTTCATTTATATACATCAGCTTGTTGGGGTCGACTAGATATCTACTTCAGGGTTGTCCAACCTAGGTTTAGAATTTCAAGGAATATAGATAAATTTTCCCACTAGTTCAGGGTATTAACTACAGTGTTCATAAAAAAAAAACATATACAAATCATGCAGATACATTCACTCATACATGAAGAGTATAAGAATTTAAGTACAACACTGATGAACCACAATTCCAGAGGACTCATAATGAAACAAGCTATCTACCTTGAGATAGAGAACTAATAGACTGAGCATACATTGAAACATATTTTCTTTCTTTTTTTTTTTGCCAACATGGATATTTTGGAAATTTGTTTTACATGATTATATATATTTGTAAATTTTTTTGCCTCCTCAATGGGTGAATGGAGGGAGGAGGAAGGAAGATGATTTGGAACTGAAAATAAAATGCAATTGAATGAAGAAAAGAGTATAAGTATACAACCTTGGTCTACTTTGTTGCCACCTGCAGGATGCCTATCTTTTATCCAGGAAAATGAGGCTATCTATATAACTGCACCTGGATTTACCACTGTCTAGTTCCCAGATTCTAGAGGTTGAAAGATTTTGTATCAAGTCAAGCAAAGAAAGTGAGAGCAGTTTACGAATGCATTAATGCAGAGTAGGTCAATTTAAGTTAAACACGGGGTGGAGCTCATGGATCTTTAGCAGTCACTCTGGCTGTTTTTACTGTCATGTCTTCCTCTCCTGGGTGAAAAGAACTTGGTCCGTCCAATCTGCCCCTTGGGTCTTCATTCAGAGGCTCTAGGCATCACATTCTACACACTTTTGAATTTTATTTCCTTTTTTCTTTATTTGAACAACTAACCCTCTTGGAATTGATCAATATATATCAGTTTCCTTTCTGGAGGCAACCCTCTATTATTCTGGGTCAGTCTGACAGGAGCTCAGTGTAACTTTGAGTCAGTCTGACTATTCCTCTTCAGATTCTTATCAACACCTTCTGATTCTTTATCTATTAGGGAGAGAAAGAGGAAGAGGGAGAGGGAGAGGGAGAGGGACAGAGAGAGGAAAGTCTTTCCTCACTGAGCTATCATCAACACATCAATATGACAAAATAGTTTATATTCTAGAAGCAGCTAGGTGGCCCAGCAGATAGAGTGCTAGGCTTAGAGTCAGGAAGAAATGAGTTCAAGTGCTCAATTAGTTTTGTAATACTAGTCAAGTCACTTATTTTCTGTATCAGTTTCATTATCTGTAAAATGGGGAGAATAATAGCACTTACCTTCCAAAGTTGTTGTAAGGATCAAATGATATAATATTTGTAAAGAGTATCTGGCATATAGTAAATGCTTAATAAATCTTTCCTTCCTTCCTTCCCCCTCTTCCTTCCTCCCTCCCTTCCTCCTTCTTTTATCTTTCCCTTCTTCTCTCCCTTCCTCCATGTGTTTCTTGCTTTCTCCCATCCTTCCCACTCACCTTCTGAGAATGTGTCCATAGGCTTCACTATTCTGCCAAAGGTGTCCTTGACACACCCAAAAAGGTTAAGAACCACTACCTAGCCACTTGTCCATAAAGTCATCTTTAAGGAGGGTAGGGGAGAATAGCATAGACTAATAAGCTTTGCAGTGGATACAGATAATTTTCACAGATGAAGAAACTGAGGTCCAGACAGATTGTCATTTAGCCAAAGCCAAAAAGGTATTAATTAAGGTGGCAAAGCCAGTCTACAAAGTATCCCATTATACCATGCTTCTGTTAAGTCTTTACTATGTCCATCTCCTTGTCCACAAAATTATCTTTGGGAAAACCTCATAGTGGTCTACATAAAATTTACTAGGAAAAAGAAAAAAAGAAAAAAAAAGTCAAGTAGATTAGGAAGGGAGAGAAGATAGTAGGGGAAAGGCAAAAGGTACTGATTTTCTCATCCTATCCCAAAATATTAGTTTTGCCCATTTCTTAGATTTAGAGGTATATATTAGACCCCAAAGATTCCCTTTTTCTTTTTCCTTTACTTTCTTTTCCCCATTTACTTACTTATTTTAACATTCATATTTTAAAATTTTGAGTTTCAAATTATCTCCCTCCCTCTAGCCACTACCTTACCCGTTGAGAAGGATTTCCTTTTTTCTTGTTAATTAATCAAAAATACAGCTCTTCACTTTATATTATTATTTTCCTGCTCACCTTTGATTAAATATATAATGGGAAATTTGATCTAAGAATATTAGAAACATAAAAAGGATCCTGGGGCTAGCCCCCATTGTAATTAAAGGATTAGAGATAAAACATTTATGAGGGAAAATGCAAGGTTTCGTATCACTGAAGAGTACAGGCCTTAGATTTAGTGGGACCTAATTCAAATGTTACTCCAGACACTTACTAGCTGTGTGACCTTGGGCAAGTAACTCAACTCTGTTTGCCTCAGTTTCCTCATCTATAAAATGAGCTGGGTAAGGAAATGGCAAACCACTCTAGTATCTTTGCCAAGAAAACCCCAAAATGGGGTCGTGGAGAATTGAACAGAACTGAAACAGCTCAACAATAAAACGGTCCTACTAGGGCTAGGAATAGTGAAAAGATATAATCTTACACTTTCCAGCATTAGAATTTTTCAATTGTCAAAAATATTTAAGTAGTTTGTAACAGTACCTATACTGGTGGTCTCCTTGATTGTGCCTTCTGCATTTACTTTTAAAGGATGATGACTTGGAAACAGATTTGAAAAAGCTTACCTCAAAACCAGTGCTCGGCTGGACAGAAGAGGAGCTGAAACAGTATGAGGCAATGTGTCTTGAACTCTCCCATAATTTCCAGGTATGTTTATGTCAGTGGTGGGGTGTGGTGGGAGGAGCATTACTTGCTGTGTCATTGCATGCCTGTGATATATCATAATATAGAGAGCACTGGAGGCTACACAGAGGTTCCAGATGGGGATTATTGATTATCATTAGCAATCTGTTTCTTGGATTCGTAGCATCTTATTGAGCTAAAGCCAGGTGGCAAATGGAAATTCTGGAAAGATCAATTTTAAAAGATAGAAAGATTACGAATATGAAAGCCCTTCTGAATATGGAGAATAGAAACAAGCTCCCACAATTCCTTTAGCCACTGGAAGTACAACTGATCGTTTATAAGGTGTGTGTGTAGGGGTCTTAATCCTATAATCAAAATAACAAAAGTTCTGGGTAAATCAGTCATTGAATTTGGATGTTTCCTTGAGGTCCCATTTATCTGTTTGTTCTGGAAAACTCTTGCAAGACCATTGTCGGTAATTCATGGCAGTAGTTCCATCATTTTATAAGTTCTTCTATGAAATTCCATCATGATTATTGACTTCCATCCCTGCCTTCCAATTCTTATCAATGTAGAGTGGGTCACTTAATGCCAGGAACTGGTCCAGTATGGAATCTTTCCATCTCATCCTGAACATATTTTGGCCAGTACATGGAACTTCAGTTGCCAACTCAGCCCTGACTGGATGGAGGAGTGCTCCCAGCCCAAGAATTTAAGCCATTCCCTAAAGTTATTAGAGATTTTATGGGACTTTATTTTTGACCTATTAACTACCACAGTCAGCTACAACATCCCTAAGTACCATATACCTTTTCTCACAGTGGCCACTAAAGCAGCAATATACTAGGAGATGTGATTGGAATTGGAGAAAATTGGAAATGAAGTAGGGATAGCAGTGTGATATATGAAAGCAGTTATCTCCACCCACCCTACTTAAGGCTACTTTCTCCTTAACTAAGTGTTAGAGCATGTGGTTTTTCCCTGTTCTTAGTCATAGAGTGATCCTTTAGATATCCCAGCTTAATTCATGAATTTAGTCCAGACCCTAAGAGTTGATTAAGTTCCTTGCTAATGCCCAGATTTCAACATATTTCATTTTTTTAGGTCATTTAGCAGAGCATTTACAGTTACTTGTTGATTGGCCAGAAGAAGATCTGAAACAATATGAAATACTATGTTTTGAACCTTCTTATCATTTGCCTAAAACTTTTCGAAGATCTCTGCCATGTCCAATACCCTGAAGATGATGATGTAGTTAACGAATTACATTATTTTCTTTTCCTTTGGCATGTTTCCTTATCTGAAGATATGCAAAAGATGCATGATTTGCCAACTTAAGGAGCTCCCAGAGTAGTGGTGGTGCTAGTAGTGATGGTGGTGGTGATGATGGTGGTAGGTGGAGTTGGAAAAGAAAACCTCTGAGGTCTTTTCTGTCTCTTGAGCTATGTTTGGGGAACTTCCCTCTAAAACTAAAGATTACAGTTCATGTATGACTTGCTAGAAATGTCTTAAGGGACTAATTGAAGCACTTAGAGGTTAAATGAGTTGTTCAGAGTCATGCAGATAGCATATGGGAGATGTGGGATTTCAACCCAGGCCATCCCTCCCTTCTAAGGATGCCTTGTAGTTACATTATATGTATCAGGTATATTATTTTTCCTATATGTTATTAATTATAACATGTATACATATGTATGTACATAGCTATTCACATGTTCTCTTCTCAATCAGAATATGAGCTGCTTAAGAGCAGGGGCTTTTTTTCCCTTTTCTTTATATTACCGGTGCTTATGAAAATATCTGGCACATACTTAATAAATGTATGTTGATTGATTCTGATTCTAAGCCCTGTCTTCTATCTACTATGTTAAGCTGCCTCTATAATAAGGAATAATAACATAGACTCTTCTTTATTTAAATCTGAAGGAACTTAATTCCAAGTCTGGAGATGGGCTGAGCTCTGAAGAGGACCTAGGAATCCCTCAGTGCACCTACTTTTGCAATATTCCTACTGAAACATCCTCAAAGAGGCATTGTCAAGAGAGGGACCAAAGCCCCCGGGGGCTAGAAACAGGGGATACAAATTTCCAGGACCCTCCTCTGAAGCAGATGAAGATAATGAAGTCCACTGGGGCTATAACTTATGAAATGGCTCCTGGCAAAATAGGTCCATATTTATTATCAAATGATCAAGAAGAAGATTCCTCCAGAAGGGAATCACCAAATACCCAGGCATCCTTTAAAGAGCCTCCCTGGGGTACAGAAGTGTGTTCCTGTCAAAATAAGAATACTTTCCTTTCCAGCTCCATCAGGATTGATGAAACCTCAGAAACTATGTCTAATGTGCTGGAGAGGCATCCCATGGATATTCCCTTCCACAATCCCTATACTTATATAGTCAAAGCTGAAGGAACCAAATCTGTGCCGGACTTCAAGGTGTTAGCATTTCCAGATGTCTGGGGTCACCACTCACCACCCTTTTCCCAGCCCATGTTGGAACGTAAATGTGGAATTCAAAGGTAATGTTACTTCTGTTGTTGTTGTTTTTACCTAGTTATTTTGGGGACCTTCTGAATAAAATTCACATGCTATGCATTTATGGGACAGTACTACTTCTTGTAGTGCTAATGTTTCTGCTTAAGGGATAGAATTAAGAAATCAGAAATATTGCTGAAATCTTGGGGTCTAATTTCTCTTTCACTTCAACCTGCTGTACCAACATCCAGATAATCCTAATCAATGGAGAATTCCTTCTCTTCTCCACACCCGCCAATGCCATCTGTATAATGTTAATACTCAGAAGTGACATTTCTGACTTTGGGGAGAAATCTGCAAATTCTTTAAGTGGCCAAGGGAGTGGCACCATGGAGATGCAGTAATGGTAATGGTAATAGACCAATAAATCATTAAGCTTTTTTGACCACCTGATGACATGGCTAGTTCTTTCTTACTAACTCCATTGGCTGGCTGTATTGTCTGTCATAGAAGTGGATACAGTGAGTCATGTGTACATAGAAGCTGCTATGAAGTTCCCTGATGGGGAAATATGGATTGGGTGGGTAAAACAGTGGTGACAAGCAGAAAAAGCAATTGATCTAGAGATCATTTGCCATAGAATCACAGGCATAAAGCTGGAAGTGATCTTAGAGGATCTCAAGTTACCTAATCTTGGAAACTGAGACTTAGAAGGGACCATTTCAGCCATCTAGTCCAACTCCCATGAAAAAGAAATCCCTAGTTTAAAATATTTAACAAACGGTCATCTGATTCGTTATCTAATCTACTCCCTTCATTTTTATAGATGAAGAAACTGAGGCTCATAGAGATAAAGTGACTGACTCAAGGTCATATAGGTACTGAGTGGCAAAGCCAGGATTCAAACCTCTCATCTGAAGACCTTGTCTCATATTTCACTGAAAAAAAATCAAGGACATTCACCAAGACCTTCCTACTCTTACTTCCTCCTCATCTCATTTCTCAGATGTCTTCTGTCACTATTTCCTCTCTCACCCTTGTCTCACATGTAAAGGTGACCCTTCTCCTTGTCAAGGCAAATCTCTCTACATATACAAGTTAGCCCATTGTATCTCATCTCTAGCAGATTGCCCCCTCTATCATTTCCAGTCCTTCACTTATCATTAATCTTTGCCTAATGGCAGCTTCCTCACTTCCTACAAGTATGCTTATGTCTCTCCCATCCTCAAAAACTTTCACTTGATCTATCCGTCCTCACTAGCTCTTGTCCTATATCTCTCTTCCCCTTTGCTGCTAAACTCCAAGAGAAGGCTGACGACAAGTAACGCCTCCAATTTCTTATCCTCTCACTTTTTTCTTAACTTGCCAGTCTGGCATCTGGCCTTCTCATTCAACTGCAATTGCTCTCTTCAAAGTTACCAATGATCTATTAATTGCCAAATCTCTGGCCTCCGCTCTGCAACAATTCTCATCCTTTTTGACTTCTCTGTATCCTTTGACAGCATTGATCACCCTCTTCTTGATATTCTCTTCTCTCTAGGTTTCCATGATAATATTTTCTCCTGGTTCTCTTCCTACCTCTATGACCACTCATTCTCAGTTGTCTTTGCTAGATCTTCTTCCAGGTCATGCCAGACAGCAGTAGGTGTTCCCCTGGGCTCTGTCCTGGGTCCTCTATCTTTTCCCTATCTATATTATATCACTTGGTGATCTTATCAGCTTCCATATATTCAATTACCATCTCTATGCTGATGATTCTTAGATCAAATTAATCCAACCCTAACCTGACTCCTAATCTCTAGTCTTGCATCTTCAGTTGCCTATTGGACATGTGAAACTGTGCAGCCTTGAAATTAAAAAAAAAAAAGCTTTCTCCTTGGATGGAAAGCTATGGCAATTATACTGAAATTATACTGGAAAAAGCAAAGCTACCACCTCGTGAACAAAGGTCTGTATAGTCAAAGCTATGTTTTTTCCAATAGCAATGCACTGGAAGTGCATGTAAGCAATGTAAGAGTTGGGCTATAAAGAAAGATGAGCACCACTGAAACTACACTTTCAAATTGTGGTGCTGGAGAAGACTTTTGAGAGTCCCTTGGACAGTAAGGAGATCAAATCAGTCAATATTTAGATATTAATTCAGACAATTCACTGGAAGGTCAGATACTGAAAATGAAGCTTAAATACTTTGGCTAAATAATGAGAAGATGGGACTCATTGGAAAAGACCCTGATGTTGGAAAAGAGTGAAGGCAAAAGGAAAAGGGGCTGGCAGAAGATGACATGGATAGGTAGTGTAATGGAAACAATGAACATGAACTTGGACAGACTTCAAGAGATAGTAGAGAATAGAAAGTCCTGGTGGGCTATGGTCCACGGAGTCACAAAGAGCCAGACACACTGAACAACAACAAACTGGATTTCTCACAGACATCTTAGATTCAACATGGCCAAAACTGAACTAATAATATTTCCTCCCAAACTCTCTGCTCTTCTAAACATCCTTATTACTGTAGAAGGCATCCTCACAGTCACCCAAGCTCACAAGCTAGGTATCCTCTTTGATTCCTTACTGTTTCTTACCCCACTACCCCAACTCCATCCAATGTGTTGTCACATTCTGTTGACCTTTACCTCTCAAATATCTCTCATCTCCATTCCCTTTTCTCTCCTGACACTGCTACCACTTGGTGCAGACTGTCCTTTTCTCACATCTGGACTGTTTCAATAGCCTCCTGATTGTTCTCCCTGCCCCAAATCTCTCCCCACTCCAGTCTGACCTCCACTCAGTTGTCCAAGTGATCATCCAAAAGCACAGATCTAACCATGTCAACTCCCCTCCTCACCCTATTCAATAAACTCCAGTGGTTTCTTATTACCCGCATCCCCATCAAAGTATACCTCAGGAGGAAACACGATGAATTCTGCTCTCTGCGATTCTCTGGTTAGCATTCTGGTGTCCCATCGCTGTGAAGTTTTACTTCTCCCTTGGATTTAAAACATCTCAGCAAAAGACAGCCTTGCATGAGCACGAGACAGGGAGCTGGGGCCCTCCCCAAACTGTTCAGTGTGTACCCATTGCAGCTGCCACTGCCAGCTTTTGTTTCACTCCTTTCTGAGCCAAAGTGTTGAAGGAGCTTTTTATGCCCAGTGGCATCACTTTCTGGTTTTACACTTCTAAATTAAAGCTTTTCACAGCGCATATTCCAGGACATTAAGTAATTGTTCCGCAGACCTTTGAACGTAACGCTGTTCAAAGGGTCAGGTTTATGAGGTGAGTCACCTCTGGTTTACACTATTTCTGCTCTTTCCCTTACTTCCCCCAGCCCCAATCACCATGGTATCCGCAGCCTGTCTGGTCAGAGGAAGAATTTTGTTTACCTTCTTGCTACGTGCTGGATCTTGATTACAACTAACTCTCCCTGTCCCTTCAGGTTTCTGTCCTTGTCCAATGGCAGCTGTGGTAGGGAAAGGTTGATGAATTTCTTTGTGGTGATCAGTCACTGCATCCAAACTAATATTGATTGCGCACCTACTATGCTAGGGGCAGTGAGACATGCAAAGAAGACTAAGTTGTGCTCTCTGCCCTCTTGAGCTTGCAGGGTAAAATAGAAGAAAACAGATACACACACTCACACACACCAAGGCACGGATAGTGCTTAATAAAAAGTGGACTATAACAGTGCAATGAGAAAGGAATAAACATAGTAGCCTTGCTGTTCAGAGGAGGCCAAGGTTACATTCATATTGGAAGACTAGGGAAAGCTTTGTGAAAGAGGTGACATTTAAGATGGGTCATTAAGAACAAGTAGGAATTAGACAAGCTGAGCGAGGGAGGTAAAGCTGCAAGGTAGAGGCAAAGGTATAAGCTAATGATGATTATGATGATGATGGCTGACATGTATAAAGCTCTTAAAGGTTTGCAAAGCCCTTAATGCACATTACATCACCGGATACTTAAAACACTCTCTGAGGCAATTGCTATTGCTATTTCCATTTTACAGATGAGGATACTGAGGCTTGAAGAATATACATGACTTGGCTATAGTTATGCTCTTAAAAAATGCCCAAGTTGGAATTTGAACCTAGATCTCCCTGACTCCAGGACAAATGCTCTGGCCACCATATCTCATAAGCAGTTCGATTTGACTGGAACATAGAATGGATAAGGATTTTTATGGGAGGTGTGACTGAAAAAAGGATTAAATCGTCACAGACTTCTAATGCCAGATAAAGTAATTTGGACTGATTCTGTAAGCAGTGGGAAATCATGGAAGGCTTTTGAGCATGGAAATGGGATATGAGGCATGATCAGAACTATGGTTTAGGAAATTTAATCTAGTAGCAGCATGTTAGCAATATGTGTGATGAACTAGAGGGAGGAGAGATTGCTGAACAAGGCTATTATAATAATCTAGGCAAGAAGAAACAGAGCTAGATTAGGGACTGAAGAGAATGGAAAAGAGATATTGTACATGTAGAATTTCTTGCTCTTAGTAATTAATTAGCTCGGCAGAGGGGAAGGTGAGAAAAGGCTTGAGTCAGAGACACGGCTGAAATTTCCAGCCTTAGTGGCACTGAGGATAGTGGTACCATGGACAGAAATAGAGAATTCCTGCAGGAACAGAATTTATGGGGGAGGTAATGAGTTCAATTTGGACATTTTGCTTTTGCTAGGAGAAATAAAAATGTATACTTTCAGGATGTACTTGAAGGCTGTCCTGTCAGCAAAACACAGCTCAAGAATAAAAGAATGAGCTAATTTCACATCTTTGTAGAAGATGAGAGGAGAAAGTAAGGAATTTCCTTTTGAGATCTTAACCACTGACTGATGCAGAATATTGAGTGGGCTGGGTCATGTTTTTGATCCAGCCTTGCATATCTTGGGTTGGCTATTATGCGTATTTCATCATTGAGAAAGGAATGGAAGAGAGAAGCTAGGAAAAACAACATTAAAGTTACCCCGGGTTGATGGATCTGGGCCAGAAATCAGAAGGAGAAAGATTTGCCTTTAGCTAAACTGACTGAGATCAAACTGAAGAAAACCTTCACACCAGAGCAGTGTGAAAAAAAATAATTTTCTAAATGAAGGTAAATATACCTATCTGAAGTCAATGGAGTGGAGGGTATAGAATGTTTCATTAACAGCTTTTTGGTTTCATCAGCAAAAATGTTCTCAAGGCAGAAGATCCCTTGGGCACATCCCAGTTTTTCTCTTGGCTGCAGACTCTGAATTTGTTATTTTTTTCTCTACTCAGGGCGAAAATATTTGAAGATGTCCAGCGGTTTATCCATCCAGAGAAGGTGATGGGCAGAGTTGTCTTCAGTTTAGATGAGTCTTGGTAGGTAGCCTTATGCATTGGTGGCATGATGATCTGGCTTCTATTAAAGGGGATACAAGTAAGGAAAGGTGTGCTGCTTTTAGTTGACCACCTTCTATAAAATTCAGCTAAATTATATATGTATATATAATGCACACACACATATACATATACATTCATATATGTATATATGATATATCTGTATATCTATATCTCTCTCTGTGTATATATATGTGTGTGTATGTATGTGTGTGTGTATGTATGTGTGTGTGTGTATAATATATATATATTATACACACACACATACATACACACACATATGAGAGAAATCTTACTTTAGGAGCAATGAGCAATCTAAGCAATGGGAAAATGCTGAGTACTGATCATGGAAATGGGTTCTTACTATTAAAAATAAGAGCAATAGTAATAGGTATGTCTATGAGCTATTTATTTTGCTTTCAGGCTCTTGCAAAGCACTGATGCAACTGAATATTTGAAGTTCTCCTCTGGGTTTGAATCGGGAAATCTGCGGAAGGCCATCCAAGTGAGAGAGTGAGTAAGGGGAGATCTGTGGGGGGTGGGGTCCCAGTATGCATATAGCTTTGCTATTGGAAGGGGTGAGTTGTTGTGGGTTTAGGATCATAGATTTAGATCAACAAGGGACCTCCTTTTACACATGTGGAAAATGAAGCCTGGGGATATGAAGTAACTGGCCCAAAGTCTTATCAGAACCATAAACATCCTCAGGCTCAAGAAAGAAAGATTTAATATGAAGGAAGAGTCTAAAATGGAATGAAGTAAAAGGAGAGCCAGGTTATGTTATCAAAAGAGTACATAGCTTTAGGAGTAGGAGTTTGAGTCCCAGTTTTGAGACAAACTTACTGTGAGGCCTTAGTCAAGTCACTTTACCTCTATGGGCCTTACTTTCCCTACCTACAAAATGAAGGTTTTAGATTAAATGACCTGTAAGGGTCCCAAGATCTTTAGAAATCTATAATTCTAAGAAGTGTGTTTCACCTCCTAAAAGTAAAGAGATATTGTCATTACAGCCAATATTGCTCACTAACTGGAGGCTTACTATAATGTACTCCAATGTAATTCAGAACTCTATACAACTTGAGTATTTGATGGGTCTCTTGAATTTTTAACCTTCCAGGACGCAATGGAACCTTTATAGATTCTTGCACTGCCCTGGCTGAATAGGGAAAGGATAGAGAGAGGTTATACATTGGTCCGCCTGCTGGGTAATGTGAGTGGAATTCTCATTATTCAACCAGGAAGGGTGGGGACCTCATCTCAGAACCTCTCAAGGGGCTGGAGATAACTTAAGGACCTGTGGCCACATATAGTGGTACTATCTGCTCTACTCTGTGTCACTGAATCTATCTGACAAAACAGTCCCTCCTTACCACTGATTGCCCTTGTAGGTGGTGTCAGTTCATTACTTCATTATCTTTGGTCAGGGCATCTGCCATGCCTGAAACACTCTCCCTTCAAGTCTTAGCTCGTGCGCCACACCCTAAACAAGACCTTTCTTTATACCCACTAGCTGTTAGCGTCCTCTCTCCCAAATTACTTTGTAGCTACTTGGTAATATATTTTGTATTGACTTATCTGTGTAAATGTTGTTTTCCACCAATGGTATATAAGTCCTTTCAATTCATGAGATGAAAGTGCAATTCACAGAAATAAAGGCAAAGATACATTTTTCTCTTAATCATAATACTTAATAACTCACATTTACATAATACTTAAATTTTTTTAAAGCACATTAAATTCTGTAAGGTAAATAATATTACTCTTTTGTCATTACAGTTGAAGAAAGTGAAGCTCATTGAGGTTAAGTGACTTATTATGGTCAAAGTCCTTTTAAGAGTCAGATACAGGATTCAAACTTAGATCCATCTTGACTCTAAGCCCAGGGCACAATTCATCATCTGGAAAAAAATGAATAGTCAGACAATCTTGACACGGACTGATAAATTATACCCCATGACCTATGGCTTATGATTTTTTTCTTTTCTCTTGGTTACTCTACTTTTTAATTCCCCTTCCCCCACCCATTCCCAACTCTAAATAGAAAATATTTGGTCATTGGAAATGTTGGCATCTTAGAAATTCAGTCTCATGTATCATGCAGATGATTTGTGACTGATTAATTTTATGATAAGAGCTAGGTGTTGATAAAAATGAGGCTTTGGATTTGATCCTGTTAGTTGTCTTTGCTCTCTTCTATGGCTATAGAGTTCCATTCTCATTTGAGATATTTGAACATATCATAAAACAAGTAGTATTGCCATGGGGAGAGATTAGGCAAGGACATAGATGGGTCAGTACAAATCTGTCTCCACTCTAGTCAAAGTACATGCCTAGACATTAGGTCAACAGCATTTTTTACACTAGGTGGCAAAATGGGTAAGAACTTTGAACTTGAAATGAGGAAGACTTAAATTTGAATCCTGCTCATACACTTACTATCCCTGTGATCCTTGGCAAATCATTTAATTTCTCTTAGCCTTAGATTCTTCATCTATAAAAAGAGGAGGTTGGATTCTCTGTCTTCTAAGTTCCCTTCTATGTCTAGATTGGTGATTCTATGAGTAGAAAATACTGGAGAGTAATTATTTTGCAGTTCAAATGAAAGAGATGCTAGAATTACTAAACCAACTTTGAAGTAGAAAAGGGTGAAACTACCTAGTCAATGCTAGCAGTCCTATATCACGTAATAAGGGTGAGATTACTCCCCTCCTCCCATTAAGGCTGTGAGAACACATTTCATAGCTCACCAGGCTAACATCACACATCTTGCTTTCCAGGTTTGAGTATGATTTATTGATTAATGCTGATGTGAATTGCGTCCAGCACCAGCAGTGGTTCTACTTCAAGGTGAGCGGCATGAAGGCTGCTATGCCCTACCGCTTCAATGTCATCAATTGTGAGAAGGTCAACAGCCAGTTCAATTACGGTATGAGCTTTTGGGGAAAAAGGATACTCCTGTTCAGCAAAATGATCAGTGTAGCATTTTTTGTGTCTGTGTAGACTGTGACTAAAAACACATCCTTGGTTTCAAAAAGGTTTAGAGAAGGGCCATCCATTTGAGACACTACTTAGGTGTCAAATTAGTGGCTGAGCTTGATGAACTGATACTCTGGAGGGGAAACCAGGAAGCTCTGATATTACCACAGGTAGTCAGAGTGCCTACGTAGAGGTTAATGTCAGGACTTCACCTATCCTTTTCTCTGTCATTGTCAGGTAAGTAGACAGCCTCTATTCTCCCATATTCCCAGGTCCAATAAACATAATGGCAAAGGCTTGCTACAACATCAGTGAGCTACACAAACTTATTGGCACCATCCACTTAGGAACTTGGAAAAACCACAGAGGAAAACTAGATTCCCCTGAATAACAGGAGGAAACTGGATAGGAAACGTTCAGGAGACAAAACTTATACTTCTATAACTATATATTTTGACCCCTGTGATGATGATTCTGCTATAACCTGAATATGTACATTGTCATCAGAGATAACTAGGGTCTTTGTCTTCAACAACATATCTGTCACTATAACATGCTAGAATATGGATTTTAATGTAGTATGGAATTCACATTTTCCCAAAAGTCTATTGACTTTCCTAAATCCAGACTAAATAAAAGAGATGTATTCTAGATGAATTGTAGTTCTGGAAACTCTAACTTATAGAAGTAACTTGTTAATTAAGTGTTCCATTAACAAAAACAATAATAACAATAATACTATGATAATATAAACTTTTATAGATAATCTCATTGATCCTGACAGATTACATCATTCACTGAGTAGCAAAAGAGATATAGGGATCCAGAAAAGTTAAGGAAATCACTCAGGGTCACCAAATGAATCATTATTAGAGCCAAAAATATAACTTAGGACTCTATCCTTAGAAAAGTTTTTTTTTTTAAAACATATTGGTATAGTTCTATTGGGAGGGAGAGAAATAAATTACCTTGCTGAAACAGATAATGAAACCTATGTGAAAAGAGAGAAAGTCTGGATATCAACTTTCTCTTTCCTTCTCTTTATCCTTCTGGAAAAAAAGTCCTATCACCTGAACCTGCCTTTGTTTTGTGTAGGGATGCAGCCGACCATGTATTCAGTGAAGGAGGCTCTCCAGGGCAGGCCTCACTGGGTTCGGGTGGGCTATGATATCTGTTATTACAAGTAAGTGCATCATTAGTATACCTTTGGTTACCCTTCCATTCCCTCCCGCATTCCCTACTTAACCATATTGATGCCCATAACCTTCAGCTGCCAATGCTCATCTGCTAAACTTGCTGCAGATCCCTCAAGGCTGCAAATCTCCTGTCCTTTAGTGGAATAAACAGACAAGATTTGTATACATGGATTTGAAGTAACATTCAGTACCTGGCATGTATTAGGTGCTGAATAAACATTTGTTTACAGTTGATTGAGGAATGCTTTATTTTGATTTTAGTGCTGCTTACTATTTTTATACTTAAATAGTATTATAGCCCCATTGCTATTTTTTTTGTACCCTACCTGTTTATCTCTAAGGAGACAAGGGTTCATAAACAACTTTTCTTTAATCTTTGATTCCATCCAAATATCATGCACTTTTGCAAAGTTTGTATTGAACTGGTCCACATGACTTGGAATTATATTTCTTCCTAATCAATTAGTAGATTTTCACTATTACTTGTATCGCTAGACACAAGACACTTAACACACACTTAAATTTCCCTACAATCAAAAAGTCCTATGAAAACCAAACTAAGTGGGAAATGACAGGACACACAATGTATTCAATCATTTTTGAGGCTCATTGACTGTTTCTAATGGAGCTACTGACTGATTCATTTTAGACTCTTGAGGTAATGGATCAATGTTTACATTCCATTGTGGGCATGGTGACTAAAACAAAACAAACAACACAACCAGTGAGACCCTCTGCAGTTCAGACTAAAATTGGTGCCAAAAATTGAGTTTTTATAGCTTGACAAAAATTTTTGGCTCGATAATCTAAGTAATGATATATGTGTGCATTCCTATAGTTGATGGACACTAGATAGTATCCATAAGCTTCTTAAGTATATGGATCTAACAGAAGGAAATGAACTTTGATAGAAGCAGAAGTCTAAGGACATAGGTCGGTCATATTTATCAACTAAAGTGATTGCAGAATTGACTATTAAGTACTGAAGGACAACCCTGAATTAACTAAAATCCTCAATTTAATAATTGGTGAGGTATTAGTAACAATACCTGGGATGCTATGGTCCTGTGGAATGCTTCTATTGAATTATTTATAAAATTAGCTGTGTCATACCTTCTTTTGTTTTCCTTGAAACCACATCCCATTATCTCTTTAATGACAGTTCTCTCATGGGCTAAGTATCAAGGTAGCTCTAAAGAATATGGTCTCACTTATTATGGGGTATTCAGGCCAATGTTAAAATAATTGTTTTCCATCAGCTAATGTAAAATCAATACAAGGTGTAGATATGTGATACTCCTACAGGAAGATTTTGAAATCTTATACTTGAGCTTTAGAAAGTGAAGAATGACTTATGTTCTCCTGGAAAAGCCACAGCCAGGAAAAATCATCAGTGATACTGATCTTTTGAAAAATTCCTTCTTCTTCTTCCAGTTTAGGCCTAGGACTAACAACGAGCTTGGATTAACACTTTGCACCCTCATCCAATAACCTGTACCCTTGCCAGGAGGCTGTTCCTATTGGAGTAGTTGCAATGGGGGAGGGGGCGCTCATGGGAATGTGGTCCTTGCGGTGGGGAGGAGGAAAAGGAAGCTCAATCTGGAACACAGGCCGCCTAAGGGATGCCAACATTAATAGCTTTTAATGTCATTAACAAGACAATTGTTCTGTGATTAAAGAGCAACTCAGGGGTAAGATGAAAACCATGAATGTGTAATGTCATTCATATTCATGTTCCAGACCTGAATACAACTGAGATGAGTGGATAAGATTGTTTTATTGTAATATCATTTGTTTTACAATTATTCATCAAATTATGTTAACATATTTTCAATACTTGGCAATACTCTGATCTAATAAAAAGATTGATATGCTGATCTCTGTTCACCTCCAGATCAGTCGTATCTACTTGGGAATAAATGGGTATGTCTTTTTTTTTTCCTATTATATTCGCCAATGGTAACACCTTGACTTTTTTCTTCCTTTTGAGTTTGCCCAAGAGGTTACCTTGGTCTTTTCCAAGTCATTTTCCTCCTACGGCATTGCTTCTGGAGAGCATTCTATCCTTTCAGTAACTATTACATTGTGCCTTCTGATGCTTGAGTAGTTTACTTGAATGATACTTTTATCATCTCTGATCTAGAGCTCCACAGTACAACTGTGATTGTCTCACAAGAAGGGTATTTTTTCAGTGTGTCATCTGCCCTCCAGTGCTTCCCTGTGCAGACACAAAAGAAGGGAGGATGGAGGAAGTTCTGAGGGAAAACAACTCCCATCCTGGTGTAGCACCTTCTGAGTTGTGAATGAGGATTTGGAAGGTGTCCCATCCCTTTTTGCTTGGAAGGATGATCACTGTGAACTCTAAAAGACATTTGAAGGGAAAAACAGTGAAAGGGATTTTTTTGAGAGGGAGAACAGGAAAGGTCAAACCCATTCACCCTTGCCCCTCAGAGAAGTAAGCATCGAACATTTTAGCCTTCGCTTTCTACAAGTCCGCTTCTCTCACTGACATACATCTCGTCTCATCCCTTTTCATGTTCTCCCAGCTCTGATGTAAAGTCATTTCAATGCTGAAGGACAGTGGGAGTGAAATGGTGTGCTGAGTGGCTATGTAATACACAATGGCTGATCTCTTCTGACATTTATCTTCACTCTTGAGGGGAGACGGAATAGCTCACTCATGAAGATGAATGTCATACAAGTGCTCTGCCATCGTGTATCCTTCCGATATATCTCAAGAGAGAGATTTTTAAGTTATATATAATATTAGAAACATTGCTGCCACAGGGAAGCTTGGTGGCTGCTGTTCTGGTTTATTAGATCCTGTTAAGGGACATGATGCACCCTTGTTAAATAGAGTCATAGTCATTCTAAGATTATCTAATTCACCCTTATCTTAACGGTTGTTTATTTCAGGCACATACTTGCATGTACAAACACATGCAGATACATCCCAACATGTTTTAAAAAAGAAAGATGGAAATGTATTGAAATCATAGCTGCATACTTGTGAACTCCATTCTTTGACTCATCTTTCAACAGACAGCTGACTGAGAAGATGGAAAAGCAAAAGGAAGCCTATAGCTACTCAAATATTAGTTTGATTGATCCTAGGTCATCATTGATCAAAGTTGGCCTACATAAGCTGATGCAGATCTATCATCCTATATGATTTTCATAAATCTTTCCCACCTAAGGTGGGAAGAAAAATTAATTTGATGGCATCAGTGACATGATACATCCTATCTGAGAGGTCATTTTTTCCCACTACATAAATGCTCTCAAATATTCCCTTGATTCTTTTTTATATACCACCTGATTTCTTACATATCCTCAACCCCAAGTGGCTCTGCAAATTTGTCTAACTTTTTAATAAGGACAATATTGCTTCTTGAGATATACACAGAAGTTGCACAGAGCATCTTAGTCATAATCCTACTGGCTTTGATGGGCAAAAGACCTCTTTTAAGTTCACTTTCTGGAGTCTGTAGATAATAAAATCATGGACTCTTGTGATCATGAGGGACCATAGAGGTTCTTTAAAGTAATGCATACCTAAGAAGATTTTCCTCTACGAGAGTCCTTGTAGTTATTTGTTACCCATCCTCCACTGGAAGTCCTCTAGAGAAATGGAAGTATTCCCTTCTGCAGCAATCCATTTGATTTTTTCCTAATTTTTAGGTAGTTTCTTCCAAACATTTAGATAAATTTACCTCTTTGCATCTTCTACCTATCAATCCTAATTCAGCTTCTGGGTGAGAAGTAAAGGTATTTGAATCATTCTTTCATAAGTCAACCTTTCAAATACTTGAGGAGCTATTCCACCTCCCCTAAGTCTTCTTTTCTCCAGGCTAGACATCCCCAGTTCCTTCAGCGAATCCCAAATCATGGTATTGAGTTATCCCACCCTCCTTGTCACATGCTCAGATTTGTGAAAGTTCTTCTGATAACGTATTGCCACCACTTGCTCAAAATACTTCAGAAATACCCTGACCAAAGCAGAGTACAGAAGGATTCTCAACACCCATATTTTGTTCACCACTCATTTGTTTATACAGTCAAAGTTGGCATTGCCTATATGGGTTTTCATGTTTCACTACTGAGCAGTATTAAGCTTTGAATGCTAATGAATGCTCTGTTACTGATGTGTAAAAGGCCCATAACATGAATATTAAACGTTAGAGAAAACAACTTGTTCGTGTGATCTCAATGCAGATTGGGCAAGTATAATGACACTGGGACAAATATATGAAGAAGAAGCTCTGGAGAGAGTTTTAGAGCATATGAAAGTGAAAAAAAAATTATTGGAGGTTGATTTAGTTCCAGGATAGTTCCTGCTCACACTGCAGTCAGGATAAGCCCTCCCATGGTGAGGCCAGGAGTTTGTTTGGGGTTCAGCCAGAGTTTAAACCTGAGACTGACTGTAATTGAAACTGCTTCAAGCAGCAACCCCAGGCTAAAATCAGCATTTAGTGGGGATTCTGACTTTCTACAGTGACCCTGGAAAGTTGACTTTTCATTGTTGTGTGGGCTGCTGTGGGAAGCTGGCTCTGTATTAGTCCTAGACTGAGGAATCTGACACCCAGCTCCTGATTTATGTGATGGAAAATGTGTTAAGAGTGGAAGATATCTGGGAGACAGCTGAGTTTAGTACGACTGTTTGTCAGCTCCAGCTGCTAGCCATGAATCAGAGTATACAGACCTTGTCTTTGATGTTGATAGGTAGGAGGGGTAAGACAAAAGGTGTACACTGGGGGAGTGGCTATTCCATAATCTGATTGGCTGCCACCAGCTCATTCCCTTCCAATGAGCTGTAACCAGTGCCAGAAGATGTAATTGACTGGCATTACCTGCTCTGCTGGATGTAAAGTGCATGTATGTTTGAAATGGAACAATAACACATTTACAAGTCAATTCATAAAGGGAATCAAAGGTACAGCATATGTAGCATGCATGCGTTCAGAGCAACCATCTGGTCCCTTACATGCTTTCTAATAACTCAGGAAAAGTAAAAGCAATTAGGTATGAGGATCCAGATGGCACAGTGGGTGAACATACTCACTTTTAAAGTTTTCACTTTGTGGGTGTCTGCCTGTAATCACAAGGGAAACAGAGACTGTTAGTCTGACATGAAGAAACAACACATGATATTCACCCTGGGACTTACTCTGATACAGCCTCATTCTTTCTTTTTGCCAGAACAACTAGGGATAGAGGTTAATATTGGGATGCACCAGAGCAAGTGAACTTTGTGAAAAATCTACGTTGGTCTTTAAAAGTACTATCTGTGCAGTCTGTCTCTAGCTCCAGATACTATAATCACTCTATTCAAAATAGTTAAAGTAATGGGCATATAGTTTTTTGGTGTGTGTTTGTTTGTTTGTTGGGGGTGGTGATAAGGGAGAACAGGGGTTAGAAAGCCATCTTTTTTTCTTTAAGAACTGACAAGAATAATTGCACTCTTTCTCCTTTCTCCTTTCTCCCTCCTCTTCCTCAGAGAAAATCAAAAGTCTCAATGTAATATAAATAAACAAACCTGTATTAAACCTTAAAATGCAGAATTACATCTTTGCTTGTCCCTGCATTTTAATGTATCTGAGCTGATGGCATTTGTCAGGGAACCTTGCCCAATAGACAACACTTAGCCTTTGAAGACTAGGTATGGGACGGATGGATTCTGGCTGTAATTGACTTTGGTGCTGCTCTCTACACTATCAGAATTGGTCCCTCATCTTTGACAAAGGGAAATGTTCACTCCAGATCTTTCGACTGTTCTTTCTGGAAGCTGAATCACTCACAAATGAGGAGACAAATCTTGTAAACCCTCTTGAAGGATTGGGAGAAAAGCCTCCCTATGTGGCTAGAAGGAAACAATTTTCTTGGCCCTGCTTGTGAAACTTAGACTTTATCCTATAAATCTTCCCAGTAGAATGGGATTACTAGCTATCCCTTGCATTTCCTGTGGGCCAGTTTTCATATTAGTCAGTTAGATGACTGTACAGTCTTCATTTTCAAATGCTTCTTGAGAGGCCCATGATATTTAAAAAAAAACATCATTTCAGGGGTAGATGAACTGGCCTGGAAATTTGATTTGCTTTTTAGCCTCAGTTCTGATCTTAGGCATTTTCCATCTCTAGGCTTAATTTTCTGCTCCCAAATCCAGCAGTGACTGATCCCACCTTCCTCATGTCATTTGATGGCAAAACACTTTGCCAGAGTGGTACAAAGGACCCAAGCAATGCTCACTCATCTTAGTGAGGTCCAAGGACCTTATTGAGAGTGTTTCCTTTCTCGCTACCATTCATTTCTCTTCTTGTCTTTCCCTCCAGAAATCATTATCGCCAGAATTCAGCTGCTGCAGGAGCTCCTGGAAAATGCCATTATACACTCACCTTTTCTGTCACATTTCCTCATAATGAAGATGTCTGCTACCTGGCTTACCATTACCCATACACCTACACAGCTCTGATGGTAATACTCCCCCTTCCTCTTTTATTATGCTAATGGAATTTACATAGTACTGAAATGATTGAGAGGGAGATCTGTTTCTGTTACCATATTTAGACACAGCAGTGATATACCATGTAGGAACTGGTAATTTCCTATGACAAATAGATGTTGTGGCCTCTGAGGTTCAGATGCCTGATATGGGAAACAGAAAAACTTAAGAGGATGACATAAATTTATTATAAATCTGGTGAAAATAGTAACTCATATGCATCTATAGCAGTACAAGATTTGAAAAAGACCATTCCTCAGACTACCTCTGTGAGGTAGTAGTAGCATATTATTATTACTGTTAATAATAACAATAATAATAGTAAAATTTATGGTTGGATTGTGAGTGATTGATATGGGGAACTCCTGGTAAGAAACCTCCCGACCTCCCAATGCATATCAGCAACTACTTGTAACATATAGTCTGAGAGAGTGGAGAGTGGTCTGGGACACTTAGAGACTTAAATGATTTGCCTATGGTCCCACAGACAATATGTGTCAGAGGCGAGGACTTGAGCTCCAGGTTCTTTTAACATTGAAGCTGGCTCTTTATCTGCTACAGCAAGCTGTATGGTTTATTAAATTCCACTTTTATAGATGAGAAGACTCAGGGTCAAACTGGTTAAGAGGCTTTCTCAAGGTCACACATTTATTTGGTGCTGAGACCTGCATCTAAGCTTTTAGATTCTAAGTCTGGTTCTCTTTGTATCACAACATGTGGAGCAGAATAACTGTAAATGAAATGCGGAGTCCAACAGAGGGAGGCCTAGACAAAGAATCATTGCATCTGAGCTGTTTTCCTGAATCTACTACTGATGAGAAAGAGGCTTGAGTATGCTTCCTGACCATTTAAAGTATATTGCTGTTTCTTCATCTGAAAAATACTACTAATCATCCCTGCCCCCAGCTACATTCTAGATCTTTTGAGGATTAACGAGTATCATCTGGAAAGTACTTTGATCTCCTCTGTTAAAGCAAAATATTATTAGAATATTAATGATTCTACATACGTCATATATGTATATATCTTAACTAAAAGGACTGAGCTTCTCATTTTGAACTTGTGCTAAAAAGAGGAAAAGGAAAATCAAAAGAGCCTTCTGTAATTAAAAAGTCAGGCCTACAATACCTAACATACTGTTTGCATCTAATAGTTGCTTATCAAATGTTTCTGGAACAAAGCTATGCTCATATGTGAGGAAGCAACCTTATCACTCACCTTCAAGTCCACCGTGCTATGCAAAATAGTATATGGTTCTGTGGAAAGAACCCTTGTTCTGAAGTTAAAGAACTTGTATTCAAATCCTGCTATTGTTATTTATTGCTTTTATGACATTATGAATGTCATCTTTCTTCTATGGGCTTTGGCTTCCTCATCTGTAAGAAGAGGAGGCTGGGCTACACGCCTTCCAATATTCCTTCTAAATCTATCATTTGTTCTTCCATCCACATTTATATTTACTTGCAGCACTGCCCATTAAATTGCAACAGGCATTAAGATTGTATTAACTGCTTATCATATTTATCAGTAAAAGTTTTTGTCCAACAAAACTATAATATAAAACATATAATGATAATTTTTTTTTTACTTAGAATCCCCTCTATGATTGTTACTTTTAGAGATGCCTGGCCTACAAAATGTGTTCTCCTTCAGCAGCTGTTTTGACCTCTACTTTTGTGAAATGTTCACTCTAACCAGTCTCAAGGGAAGAGAAAGTGCTTGATGTGGTCAAAGATCGTGGTCGGGGAATCAGTGAAATTGGGCCTTAACCTCAGTTTGGCTACCTCCTACTTGTGTGATCTGTGAAAGCCACTTTATCACTCAGGGACTTAGTTTCCTCATCTGTAAAATGAAGGGATTGGATTAGATGATTTCCAAGATCACTTATAGTTGCACTGAATTATCTGTAAAGTCTCCTATAGCTTTAACTTCCATGATCATATGTATAATAGTTCCTACTCTTTTCTTGAATAAATGGGCAATGAGTTCATTACTTTGGTCATTTCACATAGTATAGAATTTTGTATGTTGTTGAGGTTCCAACTGGCACCAAATTATACAATCTTAGAGAAGAAGGAGATAGGGAGTGGTAGAAACCTTAGAAATTAGCTAGTCCAATCCCATCTTTTTAAGTTGTCCTAATGATAGAAATTATAAAGTGGAAGCAGAGAGAGATGTTGTAGACAAAATTCATGCTTTGAGTAGGGATTGAACTATATGACCTCTGGGAATCTTTCTAACTTTAAGCATCCATGAAACTGATCCCCAAATAGGTTAAGTGACTTATCTAAGAAAACATAGCTAGTCAGCAGGAGAGGCTGGGCTAAAAATAAACTTTTTTCACTCCCATTACAGTGGTCTTTACATGATTGGTTTATAAAGTTTTAGATCTCAGGACCAAACTCTAAAATATTAATGAAGACCCCCACAAGCTTTTTTTATGTGGAATATATCTATTGATATATACCATATTAGTAATTAAAAATCTTAGTGTCATTATGAAAAAAATTGACCTTGCAGCACTTCTAAAAAGGGTTTCAGGAATCCCCAGGTATTTCTGGATCAACCTTTGAGAACTGCTGCCCTACACTATTACATCATGCTACCTCAAAGATCTGATAAGGTGATAAAATGCTACCTTTCTAGTATGGAAGAATTTCTAGCAGTATTGTTTAATTTCTGCTAAGTGTATTACTTTGTTCAGTTCAGTGGTCTATGGAACTATAGCTTAGACCTCTCAAAATCCCTTTTAATGAGTATCTGTAGTTATCTGGCCCTGCCTGATTAGAGGGACATTTCCAGTGTTTGAATTAGAGTGATCATCCAGTCTTTTTTATCTGTAACTCTAAGAAAAAGGTCTATAGATACCATTCAGTGGAGGCTTCCATTTTCTCACCAAAGGCATTCCAATCCCATTTCCAAGACTGTATTCTTATCTTTCGAACCATTCTAGGAGTCAAAGAGGCTGACTTTGGGGCAACAATCCCTCTGGTCACACCCCAACAATTTATACTACCTTCACTAACTACTTACCCTGATCCCCTGGGGCTCAATTACTTACTCCAACCTCTGGGGAAAATAAAGTGAATTCATTTTTAAAACTGAAAAGTAGTCCAGGATCTATTTTTGTTATAGGGAGAGCAACCCAATCTGCAGGGGAGGCCATGAGCATGGGTGGCAGGAGACCTCCCACATAGTGGGTTATGTGGAGAGACCTTGTTATTCTGAATCCCTGCAGCTCATCATTTTGGCACTTCAGTTCGAGAAGAATGGCTCCACTTTCACCTGATTATAGAACTCTTGCTGGCCAGAAAATCGGCAAGTTTGAGGGGGTGATTGTGAGAAGACGAGTCAGGAAATGGGTGCATGTCATTGTTTTTCCTGGATAGATGAAATAAGGCAAGAAATAAAATGTGTTTCTTGAAGGTGGACAGGTTCTAGATCTTATCTTATGTACCTCAGCACAAGGTTTGCATCCCCAGTGGCTCTCAGTCTTTGGATTCTCTAGTTTTAAATGAGCCAGAAAACTGGGGCCTCTGTGACTTCTGAAAAATGTTTTCTCCAATCATGGTCAAAATGAGAATATATCTGGAATGCGCATTAGTCATTTTTATTTTTGGATATGTTCTTGGGAGAAATCTTTTTTCTTCCAACAGATCAGTGATAAATTAAATGTGATTGATACCCCAAGGGCAGAATTGACTCTCTGATACTTGGGAATTTGGATGAGGGGTGGAAAATATACTTCCCCATGGAATTCACAATTTTTAAATCTCTCAAGTAATGTTGTATATGTTTAATAATTACATTTTTATAGCAATGGATGTATATGTGGGAATATTTTCTCAATGCGGCTGTAATGTTACAACTCTTTTTTATTAATTTTATTTAATAAGAGAAATAATTAGGATTCAGGTCTTTCAAATTATATCTCTCAGATGTGTACAGATTATGATATTGGGCAGTTGTCAAAATTAGAGTATCACTGACATTAATGCTGAGGTCAGAGGGGTGATAAACTTAATTGATTGTAATCAATGTTATAACTGTTTAAATATGTGTAATAATTGAACACTAAAGTACTCAGTAACATATTGATTAGTTTATGAAATTGCTCTGGGTAACCAGCTGTATCAGTTGAAATTCTAGACCCAAAATGTAATTTCTGTGTATATTTTAGGGGCAGGGAAATGGAATTTGTAACTAAACCTAATATTGTCTATAAGGGTGGGAGCCAAAAACAGTGACCGCATGAAGGATCTATATGTTAGCTGCCCAGAAATCCTCCCCCAAAGGCAAAAGCAGAGTTTTTCAATAGTCTCTTTATACCCACTATGATATATGGCATTGAGACTTGGAACACCACTAAGTCCAATGAAGAGAAATTATGAGGGTAAGCGAGAAACAAAATACCATATGTATAATATTTCTATGCAGGACCACAGCACACACAAGGGACTGAAATGGAATCAAATGGGAATGTTTGGACATATATTGACTCAGAGATGCAATAGGCAGATCATATAATAAGGTTGTTAAATAACCACAAAACCATAGAATACAATGTTGGAAGTCATCCCACAGGTCATCTAGACCAACCAATTGATGGGCAGAAAATCTAAAACCCATATGTGGCCCATTGCAAAAAAGAGAAAGGGACAGGCCAACTAAGAGGGAGGAAGGTATTATTCAACTAGTTGGAAGAATGTGGAAAAAGAGAGATAAAAGGCTGTAGTGGAATAATTGCTCTGTATTAGTTTTAAAAAGTCTTTGAAGAGAGCAGGCTTCTTAAAGAATTAGGAATTTCTAGTGACCATGTCATGTGTGATATCACATGATGATAATCTCTGCTTAGGAAGGAGAGGTTGACTATAGACTATAGAAGATACTACTCTATCCAAGTTACTTAACTCCTTTCCAGGTGCTTTGCCACTATTTGCTGGAAGTGTCTCAAAAAGCCAATACACTCCTT